TTCGACGCACTTCGGTGGGTCATTTCCATCCTCCTTGGTCATTTCACGAGTGTGTAGATATTGTAAAAAGAAATGAGGGGGAAAAGTGAGAGCCAACAGTGTACGTGCACAGGTGAAACCACGATACAGGGGAGAGTTAAACCAAACGCGGGTGGATTGGTGTACAAAATAGGAAAGAGAGAGGAAGGCTTGTCAAAGCTAGAGTTACTACAGAGCGACGGCACGGTCGGCCATCTGAGAGGGCGCACCTCGCTTCGAGTCTTTCATGCCGTGCCGTATGTATAGCGGTTTGAGGGATTTTAATTGGCTTATAACTTCCGAAATAACGTGAAGTTCGCCACCACGATTTTTTTCTCCATGTTACTACGTTGCCTGAGGTCTATTTCAGCGCGAGTTTTCGACCAGTCAAGAAATCACTCGAGTACCCTTCTCTTTAAAACACCTGGAGATATGGGAACGTTAAAGAAAAATTCTGGCAACAAATTTTACACTCAATGAACAAGAAGTGTGAAATTACTTTATTGAGCAGACCATTACGCGATAAAAACTAAGTGATTTCTGGTAATCCTGTAATAGTCGCGCGGCAGCTGACTTCCGGATATTGCAGGAAGAGGTCTTGGGAAATTTGGTTAGCGTACAGTTTCTACTCTTTTTCACTGCTCCTTTTTGTTTTTTGTGGCATTTCTCACGTGAGCTGTGAAAAAAATCAATGCAATAACCGAACCACACAAACAAGCTAATAGAAAAAAGAAACTACCGAAATTTACAAATCTACTGATTTTTGCTGATTTTTTAAGCCGAAGTCTACTACTATTTTCTGGGGAGCTGTGGCAACACTGTCCAGACTGCGCGAGTAATTTCGCAGAAGTCCAGACTGTGCTAGCGTGCGCGCAAGTCCTTGGTTCTTGTGTGCATCGCTGCCGAGTGCTGCCGAGGCGGTGAGGCTTCGTCGTGTGTGTGGTTGGCTTGGTTCGAGGCGTTTTAGTGTGAGCTTATGTGCGTCGAAGAGGACAAGTGCGGGCCCACCGCTTGGTACATCCTTGACTTGTGCGCACGCTCGCGCAGCCTGGATTTCTGCAGACTACCCGCTCGCGCTTGTGGCTTCGCCTTTACTCACAGATCAGGTGAAACAAAGTATGGCTACTGTGCGAGAGTTTGTGCAGCTGAGATGTGCCCTTCCAAGTTCGTGCTTCTAACCTTTGCTCTGCATTGTCGCACGACGCAGTACCGGCGATATTCAGAAGGGACGATTGGAAACTGAAATGAAGTGTATGATCGGACAGACGCGGTGCTTCATCGAGCGAAAAAGTGTCGAAGGAGATATATGCCACAATTGCGGGGAGGACGCACGCAAGATCCATGTGGGATCTAGATTTCGAAGCTCAACACCACAATTTGATTTACCTGCGAAAGGAAGAGGAAGGTCGAGTGTTCTTTGACCGCGAGAGTGGAGGTTCAGAAACCTGGGATGCAAATAAATGGAGCTACGATTATGATGATCGGTGTTATCAGCAATTCAGAACCAGAAGTCCGGTGCGTGAGATCAAAGTGATGTTATGCAACCAACAAATTCCGAGTACAAGTCACCCCAACTAAACACTCAGCGACCTGTGTTGCTTGACCGGCGATCTGTACCAGCTTTTGGAAGCTGACGGCTGGATGGTCATGGAAGGAGAACTGTGGACCCTTGAATAGGGTGTTTGGACGGAATGTCTGTGGAAACCATTGAAAACACACCTTGGGCCTTCAATAATATCCGACTACAGCCCTGATGACTGCAGTGACCATCGACATACCTCTATAGGTTGTCAAGGCTGGAAGTCATCGGTGCCGGCAACTTGGGGAAAAACAACAAGCAGCTTGGATGCCGAGTTAAATCTCAAGAAAGCGGATACTGTGAACAATTTATAACTGTCCCGACAACATAAGTTTTGTGAAATACATGATTTGATTAAGTCTTCTCATCAGCATACAACACATATTGAAATATTCATGATGCTGGAACTTTGCAAACTATAACACCCATAAAAAAATAAGTTGTCTACAGTTATACAGTACACACAACTAAAGCACTTTCGAAAGTTCCTCGCTTGCGCCTTTGCCACTACCACAGGCAACTTGTATAATTCAGCTTGTCCCTTGGGGGAGGGCTTCTCCCTACACAAGTGTGGTGAGAGAAAGCGATAGGCAGAGGGTGTTGGCTAGGCTGACAAACCAGCCAGTGCGCTTCCCCGTAAAATAGGAGCGTTATGGAAAAGCAAGATGCTCAGATGTATTTGTCCCCTGGGGGTGGGTTCCTCCTTAGGAAGAAGTGATCTAGGAAAGCAGCACACCAAGAAGCCGCGTGTGCTTCTCCCTACAAACGCGTGCACTTCGGGAAAGCGACATGAGCCAGGAGGACCAGAAAGAACAAGTTAATGTCCACTGTGATGCCTATGCAGTGCTAAAAAGTCTAGCCCAAAGAGCTTGCACGCTGGGTTTGACTGATACATTTTCTATTCACTGCAGGAAAACTACATGCTCATTCCATATCTTCTCGCAACAGCACAAAGGACCAGCACAAAAGACACACACCAGAGGAACAAACCGATTGCGCCGATTATCCAAAGAAACACATTTTTCGCTCTCCATGTTACCCTGGAGTCTATACACAGGGTGCAGGCTATATAACGAAAATTGTATTTTCTGATATCGCCATGTTGGTCTGCCAGCTTTTGAATGGCAGATCAACATCACGCTATCTATATATTCAAACAAGCCAAACCAATGTTTTAGAAACCCTCGCAAGTTTAGTTCTCCCCACTAACACTCGCACTGCAGAAAAGCGACCTGGGACAAAAAAGTTAATTTGCTGAATCCCCTGTAGGGCAAAATATCTACCGTAAACCAGTTCCCATTAACTTGTTTATCCTGTGTATCTATGACGTTTGGAAAAATTACAATGTTATTCACACCATTTATTACTGAATGGAACATAAATAAGTTATTTCCGAAGAAAGAGATTGCGTCACGGGCACTGAAGCGCAGCCTGTGGCAGATCCAAGTGCCTGAACTCTCGCTTTCTCTTTTCACTTCTAGAACACCTCTATTCAAAGCTGCATTTACTGGGAAAAGCAAAGCAAGTTTAGTAGGAAGGAGCGCAAGTGTGCCTCTCCCGACTACAACGTGTACCGCGAAAAAGTGACCTTGACAAAAAAAAAAAAAAACCGATGAGCTTTTGTTTTTCTAAAAGGGCCAAATGCATGCGAAGCAAAACAGAGATAAACGGAAATTCCTGCTTATGAAAATAGATTTGAGCCATGTATCACAGCCACGTTTGCAATGGTTTTTCTTGCATACTATAAGATTCCAGATTAATAGCATACGGGATCTATGCTCCAATGGATAGACTCCAAAAATCAGCAAAACTTTACTTCGTTTCAGCTTTTGGCTTTTAGACGAAAAAACTTGTACCTGCATTCTGCAAGAACTCTACGTGCTCAGTTCATCCTTGAGACATGTTTGTTGCTATCCCGGCTTGGGTGTACCCCGGCCGTCGTAGCCGATCCACTGATGCTACTCGTCCATGAGATCATCGATGAACACGGAGCCCTTCTTGCGGCAAAACTCCTGCAGGAGCCAGTTCACGTCTCTGTGCCGATCACTGAACGCCTGAGGCCTGATTCACGAAACGATCTTACGCCAAAAATGTGCGTAAGACAATTCGTATTCACGAAACGAAATTGTCGTAAGTTTTGCGCAGGTTACGACGGAATCCTAAGGTAGCTCCGAAGCTGTCTTACGCATTTCTTACAATCAAATCCGCATGGCCGACGGCGTCGCTCAGTTACTTGGTCACGACGACCAACGGACTTTTTTTTTTTTTTTTTTTTTATCTACGTGCTCTTTTCACGCGTCCCGACTTCAAGCAGCAAGAAAAAAGTACTAAGTACTTGAAACAGACCACGACGAGCAAGAACGCTGGATTCACAAACACCCGGGAAAAGCTCCAACGACCACGATTCCACCGACCCCGACCAAGCGAGCTCGGCAGAATATAGGCCTATCATACACTCCCACTCGGCGCAGCGTTGCTTCGACGGTCCTTTGCCAAGACCGTCTGCCCACGACCGGCTGGCGTCCTGAATGGAATACGCCCGTGCGACCCTTGTGGGATGTTCCCGTATTATAGTTTGATCGTTGACCTCAATTTCATATTAAGATGTCAATCTCTTCCCCTTGTCAACACCTTGTTTTTCGAGGCAGTGGTGACGAATGCTGTCGTTGATTCTCAACTGTCGACTCTCATCGATTCTATCTCCTTGCTTTGTGTGATATAAAGCTCAAATGAACGCCGTATGGATTACCTTCGCAACATGGTATGTACACTTTGTTATTGGTATGCCATTTTATCCTGACACGACTGTACGTCACTGTCGAGCTATAACAGTTCGTGGGAGCAACGCAATGCCTGTCCAACCTTTCTTTGCCAAGCGACTTGTCCGTATCGAGTTGCAATCGTAAAAGATCGGTCCCGAAGTGCTTACCAATTCCCGGTCCCACCTGCGCGAATCCAACACTTCAATCAAACGCGCACGTCCGCTCCGAGTGTGAACAGGTATTTACGTGGCACTTGCTGACTCTCTCGTCGTTCAAACGTATATTTTTTAACGTCGGATGGTTGCGAGCGCCCGCAGGGGCAAGACGCGTGTTACATGGGCTCCGATCACTAATCAGTTTTTCCTGCGGTCATCTGCTTGATTGTGCCACTATTTCTACACTACCGCACGGCGGAAGTGGTGCGGAACATTTGGATAGCATTTTTTCGGTGTTCGACCCGTTTTTCGCCGAGAAACTTCGATTTCCCTGGCCGAAGCGAGGCGCCGCCTCGCTAAGCCTAACCGTACTATATGGCCACACCGAGGGGAAACCCCTCAAGTCCTCCGGAGTCCAAGTGGGACCAGACTGCCACGCAGGGATTACCACACACACCGGTAAGCTCTACTCACTCTTGCGTCGTCATGGACGGAGACGAGATTTCGCCCGAAGATTTCCACGCGCCTAACAGCGGCTGGCAAGACGCAATCAAGAAAGCATATGCGAGGCGCAGGGTGCAAAGCGCAGCGGTGCAGCCCCGCCGAAATCAACTCGAGACGACTGGCCTAGCGGCCAAAAGAGCAGCTAGAGGAAAGAAAACCCCGAGGCTTCCCAAGCTACCGGAAGATGACGTCCGGGTGGTCTTTCGATTGCGCGGGGGCATTCAACTAAAACCGGGGGACTGCGTGACGTTACAGCGTAGCATACAACTAGCGGCGAACGTGACTGGCGGCATGGCAGCTAGGGACACCTTTCGGCTAAACGAGCAGCAAAACACGCTTCTTATTAGCACCCCGAGCCCCGAAAACGCCACGCGCTACAGTCAGCTCACGAAGTACACGTACCGAGAGAAGGAATGGGAAGTCGCCGCCTACGTCGTTCCTCCCGACAACACCCAACGAGGCGTCATTCAAGGCGTACCGCAGGAAGACTCCGAGCAAGACATTCTCGAGAATCTGGTTCACAGCAGAAACCCCTCCGTACTGCATGCACGCCGCATGGGACGCTCCAACTCCGTCCTCATTCTCTTCGAGGGTGACCGTGTACCCTTTTGGGTCCGGTACGGGAACGTAGACTTCCGATGTTACATCTATAAAAAAAAGGTAGAGATTTGCGCAACCTGCGGCAGCGTGGGACACAGGGGGGATGTCTACCCCAACCCTACAGATCGCCGCTGCAACGCGTGCTACGCGCTCAACCCGGCACCCACTCACGATTGCCTACCATCCTGTGGGATATGCGGCAAGAGTCATCCGACGGGGGATAAGAAATGCAAGCTTCTTTACAAGACCCCGCACATCCTAGTCAAGCGCAAGTGGGACCGTCTCCAACAGGCTGCGGAACAGCGCATGCCATTCCAGCCGAATTCAATCGACTTCCCTCCTCTTCCTCCCGCCTCACGGTCGCGGAGCCGCACGCCAGCGAAGCGGCCAAACCCGCGGAAACCTAGCAGAAGCCGCTCCCGGTCCCGACAAAGGGTTGGAGGGGATCAAACCGTTCAATGGGGTGCGCCGCCCGCCAGCGAACGGACGCGCGAGAGCAAGGACAAGACGGCCAACAACTCTAGAAACTCGGAGTTGAACGATCTTCGCAGGATGGTTACCGAGCTTCGCGATGAGAACCGACGGCTGCTCGACCGACCCGAACGGACGGAGCAGGAGTGCGCCAACCTTCGACGGCAATTGCAAGCTGGGGCGACACTCCCAACACCAGATCCAGCAGCAACATCCCCACCTGTCAAGCGCAAGATGGCGACACGATCCAAATCTCCTGCACCTGCGAGAGAGGGAGGCTCTTCGGCCCCGTCCGTTCAACAGGAAATCCACCAAGCCTTTGCCGAAGTGCTGCAGAACCCAACATGGCTCGCCAGTCTCGCCTCACAACTCGACCGCCTCCGGGCGACACCACCTCACCCGCAGGAACACCATGCGTAAATCCAAAACCTACATCGTCTGGCAGTGGAACTGTCGTGGTTACGGCAAGAGACGCGGACACTTCCAACAACACATAAATGCACTCCCCGTCGAAGACCGACCGGACGTGATTGCGCTGCAAGAGCCAAGGCGCCTAGCCAAGCTCTCGGGCTACGTGACGTTCGGGTGCGACAACTCGGAGAAGACGCAAGTAACGACACTGGTCAAGAGAAACGTTCCGGTAATCCTCCATGACACGGGCATCTCGACCATCGACCATCTCCTGATCAAGATCATCGCCCCCAAGAAAGCGAATACCCGCAGTCTTTTCGTGCTAAACATCTATAGCGGTCCTCGTTCAAAGCACAAGTTTGCTAAGCTATTCCGCGCGGCGCTGGACATCGCCCGAAAACAGCCTCTCCTCGTCGTGGGAGATTTTAACGCACCACACCCGGCCTGGGGGTACGGGACGGAAAGCGTTAAGGATAGGAATCTCTGGACAGATACCCACGAGTCCGGCCTCTCGCTGCTCACCAACCCGGACCAACCCACCCGGCGCGGGAACATCCGACAAAACGACACCACGCCGGACCTCGCCTTTACGAAGCACGTCAAGGAGGTAATATGGACCAACACGGGAAAAGACCTTGGAAGCGACCACTTTGTTGTCCGCATCGATGCGACGGCTGGCCCGGCTCAACGCAGGGGCAAACCTTGCACGGTCGTTGAGTGGGACAAGTTCCGCTCGCTTCTCGAGGAAGAGCACGTCGACGACATCCGGGACATCGACCTCTGCTCAGACTGGATCCGCACCACAGCTGACCACGCCACCAAGGTGATTCCCGAAGACGGAGGTCTTGACGCGGCGGACAGCCGCCTTCTCCACCTCTGGGAAGCCAAGACACAGCTCGAGACACGACTTCTCACACAGAAGAAGAACAGATCGCTTCGCCGACGCATCGCTCAGCTTAGCCGCACCATCGAAGAGCACGCCGAGCTCGTCTGTCAACAGCAATGGCAAGATCTATGTGACAGCTTCGACGGGCAGCCCAACGTGCCAAAAACGTGGAACATCATTCGACACCTCCTCGACCCGAAAGGCAACAAGGCCGCGCAACACAACCGTATGTGCGAGATCGTCCGAAGAAGCGGAAAATCCGAACAGGACCTCATCGACTTGGTCCGCCAAAGATATTTGGGTGGCACGCCGCCCCGCTCGCCCACTATCTACGCGGGAAGCCCTAACGAGGTACTGGACGCCGATTTCACAACCTTCGAAGTGACCGCTGCCATCCGCGACCTCAAAACGAAGTCCGCTCCCGGTCCCGACGGAGTCACAAACAAGATGCTCCGACACCTTCAACACGACATGGTCGACAAGCTCACGGCTTACTTCAACAGGTGCTGGCACGACGGGAAGATTCCTCCGGCCTGGAAGACGACGAGGGTGGTGATGATTCCCAAGCCCGGAAAGAAGTCTTCCATCGACGCGCTGCGTCCCATTTCGCTCACCTCGTGTGTCGGGAAACTCATGGAGCATGTCGTACTGAACCGACTCAACAGGTTCATGGAAGATCGAGCTCTCTACCCGCACACGATGGTGGGCTTTAGACCACACCTCTCGACGCAGGATGTCATGTTGCGTCTCAAACACCAGATCATAGACGGAGAGGGCTGCTCCAGGCTGGACACGCGGGCCGTGCTCGGCCTGGACCTTACCAAAGCCTTCGACAACATCAAGCACAATGCGGTCCTGGCTGGCCTGGAGCAGCTGGGGGTTGGAGCCCGGACGTATGCCTACATCCAAGACTTTCTCACGAACCGCACAGCCCGCATCTCGATTGGCGGTGCCACCTCTGAAGAGATTCCTATGGGCGACAGGGGCACCGCCCAGGGCTCTGTCCTGTCTCCTTTCCTATTTAATACGGCCATGCTGGGCCTCCCGGAGCGCCTGGAAGCCATCGGCGGCCTTCAGCACAGCATCTACGCGGACGACATTACGCTGTGGGTGGATGGCGGCAGCGATGGCCAAATCCAGGACACTCTTCAAGCGGCGATCGACGCGGTCGCAGACTACGTGACGCCTCGAGGCCTCGCTTGCTCGCCCCAGAAGTCAGAGCTCCTCCTCCTCAAACCGGTTCGAGCTAGACAGCTCCCTTCAGACATCGAGCTCTACTCGCAGGGAGTCCGAATCCCGGCGGTTAAGAGCATCCGGGTTCTCGGGCTTCGCATCCAAGCGGACGGCAACAATTACGAGACGATTAACTTGCTCAAGGCTACGACCTACCAGATCACACGACTCATCTCGCGGATCTCCGGCCGTAGATTTGGCATGAGAGAACGTAACCTGGTCCGACTGGTACGTGCCTTCGTCGTCAGCAAGATGGCATACGTGCTCCCGTTCCTTCGTCTCGCGGTAGCAGAGAAGACCAAGCTCGACTGTCTTATTCGCAAGTCGTACAAGAGGGCGCTGGGTCTACCCGACTCCACTTCGAACGACCGTTTCGCGGCCCTCGGCATCCACAACACGGTGGACGAGATCGTGGAAGCTCAACGCCTATCTCAAATGGAACGTCTCACGAAAAGTACGACAGGCCGCCACATCCTCCGCAGCCTAGGCATTCGCTACGACAGTCAGACTGGGCCCAAGTGCGTCGTTCCCACGCAGGTCCGGACCGCACTCCTCATTCAGCCCATCCCGAAGCACATGCACCCGATGCACCACGAGGGACGCAGGAGTGCGCGTGTTCGGGCTCTACACTCCCTCCTCAGCAAGGAACGTGACGTCTACTACGTAGATGCAGCCGACTACGGCACCGGCAAGATGGTCTCTGCTGTAACCGATGCCGGGGGGTCCCTCGTCGCGAGCTGCAGCATTGACACTACGGATCCGGGAACGGCAGAAGAGGTGGCCATCGCCCTCGCTCTCCAAACGTACAAGGCGTGCTTTGTTGTGAGCGATTCACAACGGGCCATCCGACAGTTTGCCAAGGGTCGTATATCGCCACAAGCAGCCAGAATTCTGCGCGGGTTCGCCCCCGGGACGTCTCCCATCAAGCTGATCTGGACCCCAGCTCACTCGTCTCTTCCCGGTAATGAGGAGGCTCACAGCGTAGCCCGAGGATTGATTGGCCGGGCTGGCCTAACGCTGGACCCCTCCACCACGTCGTTGGCGGGGAGAGACGGGCTGGTCACATTCCGGGACGTCCTCAACTACTACGCGGGCGATCGCGCTCGCTACCCGCCGGCGCACGCCGCGCTGGACAAGGCATCGACGGTGGCCTGGCGACGCTTGCAGACGAACTCCTACCCGAACCCTTCCACGCTCCACAAGTGGTACCCGGACCGCTACTCCCCCAAGTGCAAGCTCTGTGGAGCGAAGGCGAACCTGCGGCACATGCTGTGGGAGTGCGCACGAGTCGATCGATCGAAGTATCCCAAGATCTCCGCAGTCACCAGTCAAGACGACTGGGACGCTCTCCTCAAGGCCTCCTCACAGGAGGTCCAAGAAGCCGTTGTCCGTTGGGCCGAGGACGCCGCCAAGATCCAGGGGATCGAAGCCGCCGTCTGAGGAAGACGACCGGGGAAGACGACCCCTCGCGGGGCAGCTGACACCGATCGCCTAACACTCCATCCGGGCAAATAAAGATTTATTACTACTACTACTTAACGTCGGATCGCTCCTACTTCTCCGAGGCCGCGAAAAACGCCGCGGCGATTTGTGACCATCTACGTCGATTTGAAAACGACTGGCAGAAGCCGTCTTTTACCAACGATGACAGTTGTGTTGACTTCGTAGCGATCGAGTTTGTAGCAGTCAATGGAGGTGGTTACGCATCCCGGCCTCGGCATTCAGGTGCGTTTAACTTGTGTTAGCGTCGACATATCACTGCACGGACACGAACCCCAGACAAGCGGTGGCAGAAAGGCCGCCTATGTTTGTTGGTCGTGGTTTGTTATAAAAAATCTACGTGCTCCGAACTGCTCGGATCCATGCCGAGCTCTCCGATTGGTTGCTCATGCTGCCGAAGACGCCGTCGCCATAGAAACAGCACCGGTAAGTTCTAGTTTTTGCGTACAAGAACGTCACTTACCTCTTCTCACTTAAAAACGCATTCGTCAATATCGATTTCTCCTCTTCTTACAATGTTCTTAATTTACGAACTACTTAGCTAAGTTGTCGTAAACTAAGAAGCTCTTCGTGAATCTGGCCTCTGGATCTCGGCACTCTGAATACGCTGAACAACTAACGAAGAGGACCTCTTCCCTCGGAAGGACGGAAGAAAAGGCGATTTGCATCGTCGGATCGCGTTCCAACATCTGAGCGGCCAGCCGCCAGTACTTGTCATTGTACGCGCTGGCACAAACACTGGAGTTGTTTGTGCCAACCTGCAAAATGACATCAAACCGGGCAGGGCGTCAGACACCTTGAAAAACAAGGCCTTGATCCTAATGCCACTAAACGCCCGCACTTCGAGAGCCACCTGGTTATTCGATGGGAAATACTGGGACAAGTATTTCCCCGGCAACCAAGACTCGAGACACGTCAGAAGCGCGACCGCGCTAATACACAAAGGGGCAAATTAGACCCGCTGAATTCTTCTTGAACAAGAAAACTAAAACTTTCAATAGAAAAACGCTGAAAAAAAAATGAAAGCCGTTTACAACTTTCTGTAACACCGAATTGGGGCGCAGCTCTTGAGGAGGAGGAGGGAAGGGTACTGAGGGTCACGTGTTCTCGGGGTGGGGGGTGTTGCGTGACCTCGGGGGGGGGGGGGGGGGGGGGGTCACGTGACCTTAAGGGGTCACGTGACCCCCCAGAAAAAAATTTTTTCCGCTAAATCTAGCGGGGAAATTTTCCCGCTAGATTTAGCGGGGAAATTTTTCCTCTAGATTCGGCGGGGAATTTTTTGCGCTATATCTAGCGGGGAAATTTTTAAGCTAGATTTAGCAGGGAAATTTTACCGCTAGATTTAGCGGGGAATTTTTTCCGCTAGATTTAGCGCGGAATTTTTTCCGCTAGATTTAGCGGGGAAATTTTTCCGCTAAATTTAGCGGGAAAATTTTTCCGCCAGATTTAGCGGGGAAATTTTTCCTCTAGATTCGGCGGGGAATTTTTTCCGCTATATCTAGCGGGGAAATTTTTAAGCTAGATTTAGCGGGGAAATTTTACCGCTAGATTTAACGGGAAAATGTTTCCGCTACATTTAGCGGGAAATGTTTTCCGCTAGATATAGCGGGAAAATTTTTCCGCTAGATTTAGCTGGAAATTTTTTCCAGCTAAATCCAGCGGGGAAAATTTTCCGCTAGATTTAGCGGGCAAATTTTTCCGCTAGATTTAGCTGAGAATTTTTTCCGCTAAACCTAGCGGGGAATTTTATCCGCTAGATTTAGCTGGGAATTTTTTCCGCTAAATCTAGCGGGGAAAATTTTCCGCTAGATTTAGCGGGGAAATTTTTCCGCTAGATTTAGCTGGGAATTTTTTCCGCTAAATCTAGCGGGGAAAATTTTCCGCTAGATTTAGCGAGGAAATTTTTCCGCTAGATTTAGCTGGGAATTTTTTGCGCTAAATCTAGCGGGGAAATTTTTCCGCTAGATTTAGCGGGGAAATTTTTCCGCTAGATTTAGCGGGGAATATTTTTCGCTAGATTTAGTGGGAAAGTTTTTCCGCTAGATTTAGCTGGGAATTTTTTCCGCTAAATCTAGCGGGGAAATTTTTCCACTAGATTTAGCGGGGAAATTTTTCCGCTAGATTTAGCGGGGAATATTTTTCGCTAGATTTAGTGGGAAAGTTTTTCCGCTAGATTTAGCGGAGAAATTTTTCCGCTAGATTTAGCGGGGAAATTTACCCACAATGCACCGCGCGGTTACGCCGACGCCGACGCCGCTCAAGCCGGAAACGGGCCCCTAAGAGCTGCGCTCTAAAAGTGAAGGCTGTTTACAACTCCCTGTAACACCGAATTAGAGCGCAGCTCTTGAAGAGGAGGAGGGAAGGTTACTGGGGGGGAGGGGTGAAGTGACCTGGGGTGGGTCACGTGACCAGGGTGTAAGATAGACAGGTGGGGAAACGAGAGCCAAATGAATGACCGCATTGTGTCCCCCTCGGTTTTCTCTTTTTCTGTGGCGCCATCTATGTGGAGCACCGCGAACTCTCACTCCGGGTGGCGACCGGCTAAACTGACGGATATGGTTTTTTGTGGATTTTTAGTGAAAGACTGTCGTACTCTCGGTTTATTTTGCGCAGTCTCGCATAGAGTTCCACGCAAATCCGATTCCGATTTTTTTCCTCTCGCCGCAGCGCAATCTGTCGCAAGTCGGGGGTACCCGCAAGCAGACGAGTACACAATCCGGTCACGGCGCTGCGGTAGGCTTCTATGGGCCGTTTCCCCACCTGTCTATCTTACACCCTGCACGTGACCTTGGGGGTCACGTGACCTGGGGGGGCCACGTGACGATGCCGATGATGTCATCAGTGACGTCACTGATGACGTCATCAGTGACGATGACGATACGGACTCCGATGACGTCATCAGCGATGATGACGATGACGATGCGGATGTCGGTGACGTCATCAGTGACGTCACTGATGACGTCATCCGTGATGATGACGATGACGATGCGAATGCCGTTGACGTCATCAGTGACGTCACTGATGACGTCATCAGTGATGATGACGGTGACGATGCGGATGCCCGTGAGGTCATCAGTGACGTCACTGCTGACGTCATCAGTGACGATGGCGATGCGGATGCCGGTGACGTCATCAGTGACAATGACATTGTCGGGGAGGTCACGTGACCTCGGCGGCGGGTCACGTGACCTCGGGGGGTGTCACGTGACTTCGGGGGTCACGTGACCCTGGGGAGGGGTCACGTGACCTCTGGGGGTCACGTGACCTTGGGGTGACCTCGGGGGTCACGTGACCTAGGGGGTCGCGTGACCTTGGGGTGACCTTGGGGAGCCGCGTGACCTTGGGGTGACCTTGGTTACGCCGACGCCGACGCCGCTCAAGCCGGGAACGGGCCCCTAAGAGCTGCGCTCTAAAACACTAGATATACAAGTTCTACACGCAGATAAGCAAACACGCAAAAAAATGCACCAAACGCTTCGAGTCAAACCCGCTTGCGGAAAAAATATGAATTTCGAGCCGCAAATTGTGTTATGGGTAGTTGGGCTCTCAAAGGTCGTGTTCAAATAAAAACCTCGATGTGCATAAATACTAGTGATGGGCCGAACTTCTGCCGAATAAAAAGTTCGGTGCCGAATCTTGGGAATCGGCAAAGAACTTTTGCCGAACTTTTCTAAAGATTCGGCAAAGGTTCGGCAAAAATACAATGTTACCAGACTCGTTGATATTTCGTTTTTTCTTGTGTTTTTTTTCTGGCGAAAAAAAGGTTTTCTGTTTCTATTTTTCTTAACTTAAATTCAACATGTTTACTAAATAAGGTGATATTCTGCAAGATAATTGTATTAATGTCGTTTTTGTGTGTTTACTGGCAATTTTAGTGAATCCTTACAGAAGTGGCGTGACAACGAGGTTGGGTAGAAGCGAGCGTGGCGCAGTCACGAATCACGGTATGAAACTTTCGGTTTTGAGGCATCATCAGCGCAAGCCTGCATGTGTGTGTACATTGCTAAAATGAAGGCAATAACGCCGCGTTCTTGCTTTCTTCTGGAGTCACCGTTTTGTGCTCGGAAACGAATGCAACGGTTGCTGAGCCTTCACTAGAAGAGAGAATATTAATATTGTAAGTATGCATGTTCTCCGACTTGAGTCACTTGACGTCAGCTTGGCATGAAAGTGTGCGTCCCATATTCGCAACGTCTCGTTTTTAACCTTTGAAATGCCTGTTTCTGGTGTAAGGACACACACGAACGTTTAGGAAGATAGGGAGAGCATTATAGGTCTGTGTCTAGTTTTATGCAGATAATGAAAATCGCGAAATAACACTAATTGAAAAAGCAATATAATTTTGTTTTCGCACAAACAATACTTGTGAGCCAAAAACAGAATTGTTATAATTGCGAGGAGTGCTTTAAAGTAATTGTCGGCCAATGTCTCAATGTTTCAGAATGCACGTCATCATTTGTCACTTGCGTAGAGGACCGCGTAAATTACTGGTCGATCGTCTATTCTTGAGGCAGCAAATATTAAAGAGAACTGCACTCGCTCACAAACGCACAGTTACCGCGTTCCCTACCCCACACCGCGCCGTAACCGCTGGTTGTACTACACTGTACGATGGTAACCGCACGACTGCACGGCGCCCATTTGCAATCCAAGGCTCCGTTGGCTCCGTCGCGTTCTCGCGCGTGCGCAGACATTTGCCGAATCTTTGCCGAACTTTGCCGAATTAGAAGTTTGGCAGATTCGGTCCTGTTGTGTATTCAAGTTCTCGCGCCCCGGTCCTCACCGAGGAGTCGCGTATATTGAGGTTCCCCCACGTTGCACCAGATGGAACCGCGCGTCCGGAGAGCACCGAACCGGGCGCGTGTCAGGTTTCGTTTTCACGTGCCTCGCGCGCCTGCGGACTCTGCGCCCAGCGAGACCGCGCGCGTCCCCGCTGAGCGTTGGAGCGA